ACATTACATACAGGAAAGCAATAATAAGAAACCAAGAACCATAGCTGATTTCTCATCAGAAATAATGGAGGCCAGAAGACAAAAGAGTGACATATTTAAATCATTGAAAAAATTATGATTCTATTTATATAAACACATTTTTAAATGGGCAAATACTTATATTGTGTTAGAAGTCAGGATAGTGACTACCCTTCAGAGAGCAATGATGTGAAGTGGGGAGAAGGAGGCTTGATGGGATACTAGTAACATTCTTTCTTCATCTGTGTGCTGATTACATAGCTGTGTTCAGTTTGTAAAAATTCATTGAGCTGTACACTTTATAATATGTACACTTTCTCTAAGTATTTTATACTTTCATAAATAGTTTAGGGAAAAAACTTTGTAAAATAGATGAAAGGTTCAGAGAAAATACACATCTAGGGCCTACGACAGTGGATGGTATTCATAGCGTAAATTTTATGAAAGGTTACTATTATTATTTTGTCATCATATCCCACAGAAAGTTTTGAGAGATCTAAATAAACCAAAAACCCCAAGCTCCCTTAGGAGGTAAATCTTACTCCTCAACTTGATTTTCAAGCTCTTCTAAGCACCTAGCAGCATAATGCTATGTATATAGCGTTCACTAAAATACTTATTAAATTAATATAATCTCCTAATATAGGATAGTATTCAAATACAAGGCTGCAAATGGACACTTTTATTTTCTGTCTACTGCACCTCTCTCTCCCGTATTCCATTTCCCATATTCCATCCCTCTTCAGAGTCCCTTAGTAATCCTTTGATTTATACAAATCAAAGTACTCATACCTTTGAATGTTCTAAATATAGCACCTTGAGCTCTTTTAGAAAAGGCAGATACCTAAGAACTAAAACGCCAAAAAGGCAAACACAAACTAACCTCAGCAAAAGACTACAGACATCTCTGAGGCACACATTCCCTTTGAGCTACATCTTCCTAAGTCCCAAAGAAAGCCTGGACCACCCAGAGAGCAGCCTCAAGGGACAGCACACAGATGCTGCTGACCCAGTGTCACAGAAACCAAAGCTAAAATGCCCCCAACGGCACTAGTTGCAAAGCTCCCCTCAGTGTTGGCTTTGGCATTAAACCTGATACCCCTTATCAGCAGAGATACCTTTGAAGTAGCTGGCAGACTGCCACCCCTCACTCAGATAAGCTCAGCTTCACATCCTATTCTTTTCTCCAAAGAGGATCTTTTCATCAGATGTGTGAAAATAAAGCTCAATTAATTAGAACAGATTTTTGCTACCAACAAGATAAACTGGGCAACTGCTGTGAGGAGGTGACCCCACGAAAGCCCTGCAACGCAATATGCAGAAATGAACTGAATGAAGTTTCTTCTGGAGGCTTCCAGTGCGTCTGTCTTTGAGTAGGCCTTCGGTAGCCATCCGTAGCCCATGACATTGGGGGAAGCCAGGTATAATAAATCATCATTGATCAAGATGTCTTCAGCACCTGAGCCTCCAACATTCAAAAGAGAAGCACCCAAAGGGAAAGACTTTGAAAGCCCAGGGCTTAGAGGGGTGCGCACAACAACCTTATTTCGTGCTGTGAATCCAGAGCTCTTCATTAAACCT